ATATATATATATATATATATATATATATATATATATATATATATATACAGAACACCCAAACCAGAATCAGTCCAGAAAAGTACATTTCCTGAATGATTCTACCGGGAATCAAGCACAGGACATTCGTAAACAGTCGTAGTCTATTTATCATATTTGTGTCAGTGAATAATTTAATATTCAATGCTTATGGTAGTTTACGATGATATATCATGGATTCTTTGATTCACATTATGTTTAAGAAAAATTTTAAGGTTGTCTTATTTTTACGATATTCCAGTCTTTTGCTCGTACTTACAGTAGACATAATCTCAGTACATAGTACTAAAAAAACTGACCTCAAAAGTCATTCATCCCCCAGTTGCCACCCTCATATTTAAGTTAGGTGGAATATTTTCTTCAAATTTAAATGGGCTTAATATAATACTCTCTTTCCAACAACAAATAAGAATAATTATATTAAATGATTAAAAAATGCCAGTTTTTTTAAAATTTATTTAATCAGGCTCTCATAACAATGAGTACACTATAACTATGCAGGTATATAGAGTAGGTACTACGGTTTTAAACTAAGTGTCCCATCACTTAAAGGATGGGACACTTAGTTTAAAACCGTAAACAGCATCCATTAAAAGAACAATAATATTTGTTTAGGCATGGCGATATAAAAGTACCTACAATCATTATAAACTTAACTATAGACTTCTCACATGTTATCGCGTAACATACATACAAAAAAAGTAAATCGAAACCTCTTCCTTTTCTTTTTAAATCGGTTGAAAATAACATATTTATTTTGTGGATACATTCCTACTTACGCTACGTATGTACATATACATAATGCAGCGGCGGCGGCGTTGTGAATCGATGTTCCTAAAAATACATGCGCGATATTCACATTTACGTATTCTCAAAGCCATACATTTTACGTAGGAGGTGTCTAAATTGCGGCCACCCCTGTGGCCCCCTCGTTTGAGGTGCTTTGTTTGACCTGAGAATTAATTGTCTGGGGATCGAAATCGGTGGGATCAGGTTCAATAAGTTTCTTTACAGTTTGGTAATTAAGGATATCGTTAATACAGCTTTAGCACCAGTGCTCGACCGCAATGTGTCTTAAGTATTGTCGTGTGAACATACGAATTTCAAACAACAGTAATTCGTTAATTGTTAGGCGCTGGGGCTAATCGCACCTTTCATATAGCAGACACGAGAAGGTAACTAGATCGATTTCAAGTTGGTCAAATGAATCCGTCCATTTAATTTTCTTATTTTTTCGTGTTACCAAGCGACAGGAGGAGGTTGCAGTTCTATTCAAAGCTTTGAATCGCTAATATCTGAGGGGCGCTGCCACTGCGCCCTTCACCCTGAGACATAACATGATAAGTCCTATGTGCTTGTAATTTCACCATTTATGAGAGTATAAGTCAGTTGCAGAAGAGCTCCTTGTGAAAAAGATCGTTCTATTTTTGCTGCCGGTTTTTAGTGTGTTGGTACAGGCACATAGGACTTGTCAACTTATGTCTCAGGGTGATTGGCGCAGTAGCAGTGCCCATCAGATCTTAGCGATTTAAAGCTCTGAGTGGCACTGCAACTGCTATGAACAGGCATGTTGCCAGGGGCTTGTTCGTTCCGTCACTTGGTATAGTAAAAAATATAAAAAGCAATAAAGGGAAGCGTCTTGAAAAATGTTAAAAGCACAATAGTGCTTACAGGAATACCTGTATGCTGCAGTTTATTAGAATAAAACAATAAGCGAGGCATATTTTCCTTTTATACATATGACTATCGATAGTGCTTCTTCAAGTTTGAAGGATATCTTTTGTTAGAATAACTTTCAACAGCCACACAGAGGTGGCAAAGAATAACAGAAGAGAAGAGGGCCAAGTGTAGCTTCATATATATTCGTCGGTATGTTATGTTCCATCTTATAAAGTGTGGCTTCATTTAAAAGCAAAATGCCGTGTTGGGAAATTTAAAAGGATGCAAGCGTATGTTCGCATCATGACTTTTTTCTGTAGTATTATGTACTTCAAAACATCACTGTTACTGCCTCCGTGGCCGACCGGTTACCATGCCGGACTGCCACGGAGAGGTCCGAGGTTCAATTCCTGGGCCGGGAGAAATATTTGTAT